ATATATATCGTCAAATAGAACTGCCCGGTAAACCGTAGGCGGAGAGGGAGAAGAGGACAACAAACGAGGGGCTGTGACAAACTGTTTCGTCGGAGTTTCACCGACTCATCAGGAGGCTATATATATATTTATTTATTTTATTTTTTTTTGGGGGGGGGTCGGAAATTACGCAGGAGTCACAAAAATAGGTTATAATTGCACTATGGGCCAAGATACAGTTTCTAATTGCAGTTTAGGCATTTTATACATACCAGCTTTCAAGGGTGCCCGAAGTGCAATTGCAAACTGTATCTTGCCCCATAGTGCAATTATAACTCGTTTTTTGCCTGGTTGGGCAGGTGGTCCCAGGCCACTCTGGCCACTCTGGTAGCCTAGTTGCGAAGTCATGTAATGCACGAGCTAACAGGAAGAATGGATTCCCGTAATTGTTTGAGGGCCTTGGGAAAATACTTACATGAGCCAATGGTGACGTGTGGCTATGGTGACGACCAAGATTCAAGGCAACGGGGGGATGGAAATGTTGCCAAACGTGATTTACCTATCTATAATGTTTTAGTTATCATTTATTGAGCTAAAAAAAGAACAATCAGCGCAATAAATAAGAGGGGGAGAAAGAGAGAACAACGAGAAGATTTGTAGGTGGGAGGACAAGGATTTTTTTTATTTTTTTTTTTTATCCTGGTTGTATCAGTTAGACTGGGCATAGCGGATGTTGGACTCGAGTCATGATGGTGCTTGCCCTCTGCTCGGAGGAGAAGGGAACGAAATGTCAATGAACTTGACGATAATGATGGCGATGAGAAGAAAAAGTTGAAAAAAAACGTACCATCGCTGCTGCTGGTGATGATTAATATTGATTGATGATTGGCGATTGACTATGAGTGTTCACTATGTTGATAATATCGAAGGCCGTGTCGCTGAGAGGACTTGGCTGGAGCTGGTATCGTGAATGAGGTCGATTAGGGATGCCCATGATGATGATCATGATGATAGTGATGATGATGATGATGATGATGATGGTGATGATGGTGATGATGGTGATGGTGACAATGCTCTTGACCTTGACGGTAATCATCTTAATCTTGATGATGATGATCTTGGTGGGGCTTTGCTGGTGAAGAATAGGAGGAGATGGTACAATGTCTACAACGTGTTAATGACAGGATACTTTACTGTTGCTACTTCTGCCGCTGCTGCTGTTACTAAAACTACTGGTCGTATTAGTGGTAGTTTTACTAATTCTCTGCCCCCCCTCACCGGGGTACAAAAGTCTTTGCAAAGCGGATCGTGATCCCATCATGTGTTCGGTCCCATATACAGCACACAGGAGAAGATGGCAGAAACGACAGTCACTCAAAAAAAAAGAAAAGGAAAAAAACAAAAACAAAAAAAACCACGTGTACAGTCCCATACACAGACAGGTTCATACACAGACAGGTCCCACACGCACACGAAAACAGGTCTCATACGCATACACAGACAGTCCCCATACACAGACAGGTTGTGACGGCCCCACACATGGCAAATTGTAATAAACTGCATGCAGTGTGACCAGAGCCGTGTGCTCGACATATATATGAATATATACTGTCAAACAGAACTGCCCGGTTAACCGCAGGCAGAGAGGGAGAAGAGGACAACAAACGAGCGGCTGTGAGAAACTGTTTCATCGGAGTTTCACGGACTTATCAGGAGGCTGAATCCTCATCAGTCTGCAGAATCCCCTGACTGATTACACTGTAAGTGATTGTCCACCTTAACCCCGCTTGTGGTTAATCATCAACAACTGTACGACATCTGATACGTTGAGGTGGGCACCAACCACTGCCCTCAAAGGTACCATGCTTATCAATTGCGCAGAATGAGAATGAATCTTCCACTAGAACATGGAACAATGCACCACCATAATTTAATTTTATATCTCTGTGCATGTGGTGAGTAGTAGACCGAGGCTCATCACCCTTCCCTCGGTGCTTTCGTGGAAGGCCCAACTGGGGAAGGTTTTCATGCTCGAAAAGCATGAACCAGGTCACTACACTGACCAGGTTCGTTACTTTAGAACTCCAACATAGCCCCCGTGTGCCCAGACCCTCATACATAGCCCTGGGCCGCCAAGGATGTCTGTTTTTTTTTTTGTTTTTTTTTTTGAACTCCTCACAATTCATACACAAATAATGAGCCACCAAAACTCCAAAACAGCTGCATCGCATGTCCCCACCAAGTTTGAAAAACCTGTTTCACTATTACTTGTTTCACTGTGCGCCATTTTATAGTAGTCAAAACAAAACAAGATTTGGGCTTAGCATGTAATAGTTGCATGCACCCTTTTGCAAGTCCTCGACTGTTTCACTGTTTGCTTCCACGATGCTTCAGTGCTATTGAATTTGGAATGCACCTCAGGTGAAACAGAATTGCACATACAGAACCGATGGGCATTGCAAGGAGTCGACCATCCCTGACATAAAGAGGACCAGTCCGATGAGACCGTCACATGAACGCCAGTGACAACTCTCTCTCTCTCTCTCTCTCTCTCTCTCTCTCTCTCTCTCTCTCTCTCTCTCTCTCTCTCTCTCTCTCTCCTTCTTCCTCTCTCTCTCTCTCTCTTTCTCTCTCTGTGTGACACGTGGCAGCGTCTGCGCCCTTGCTGCAACTCGGCGACTCCGTACCTCTTGTGTGTCTGTGTGTGTTCTTGTGTGTGTGTGTGTGTTGTCATATCGCTATACACTCAAGAAAAGCATGACTGTGCCGAACAGACTGTTTCGTCGGACTTTCACCGACTTGTCAGGAGGTTGAACCCCGACAGTCTGCCCAGGATGTGTCTGTGTTTGTGTGTGCGTGTGCGCATGTTTCTGTGTGTTTGTGTGCGCGCGCACGTGTGTGTGTGTGTGTGTGTGTGTGTGTGTGTGTGAGAGAGAGAGAGAGAGCGACACAATGTGACCACCGGTATCCCCCCAATGAATACCCCCATCGCACTGGCATGGATGGTAGCCACATACACTACATAGGATTTTCCTTGACACTTCCTCAGCATGAAGAGGAAGATCACGAGAAGATAAGCACCATGACAACTATCGCTATTAAGTTCGCCATAGTGGCAATCGTGACAACATGCATACACAGGACACATTCATGCATACACATAGGCCGTTACAGAAGGGGGAAGATGGGGAAAGGTGCAGTGTAGTGGTGACAGATGATCTGCCCGTGCATCTGGCTCTCACTGCTGCGCTCTCTGGCATATGCCGCGCTGAATCCAGTGCAGAAATAGGGCGATATTCATTCGAAAAAGAAGGCAAAGGCCTTTTCTGAATGAATCTGGCCATATTTCTGCGCTGAATCCAGCGCAGAAATCTGGC